TTACGTAACAATTATGAACTAGTAATTGTCGTCTGCGACTTTGTCCGAACGTTTTCTTCTAGACTATTACAGACTATCTTAATCGATACCAAATTTTATAGAGATCCGTTCAGCTATTTAGGAGATATAGTCTAACAAACAAACAAAATTGCACATTTATAACATTAGAATGATGCTACCGATTCTACAAATTTCAATATACTATAATATTTGTGATATAAAATAGTTTAGACTGTCTTCCAAAACAAATAGTCTTTATAAGGGTGGTTTTCTACTTTAGATTAATTCAGGTTAAAACATTATGTTTCTCATCTTTTATCCTGTCTGAAAAGTTTATATTACTTTCATAGATCAATGTGTACTAGCAGTGTAAACCTACTGTTACTAAATCCAAGGTAACGTCTTATTGTAGAAAGTTTATCTGAATGTAGCTATAAAAATATCCGAGGAACAAGGAAAACCCTCGATGAATTATTTGCGAGCTCTTCTGCGAAGTTGTAAAAGTTATTTGCAAACTTTGACTTTCTTTGATTGGCTGAATTTATTTCCCAGTTGGAGGAAAATTATTTCAAAATTTATATTTACCGAAAATAATAACCAATCGTGTAATAAAGGTTTTAATGCATTTTATTTGATGAAAAATCAAGCATTTTGCCAATTTTATAGCGTTATCTGCTTAAAAACCTAGGTATTTTTTTACTGGTTTTACGATAGTGAAAACCTACGGTTAATACGTCGGTGTAAGCCTTGTCATTATAGTAACGGCATTATGTAAATGTGCGATAATGTAGACCGTCTTACTTCCCAGCACTCCGTTAACGGTCAACCGTTTAAATCTCTTGATCACTTTATAATATGCTTGATTTACCTTACAGGAATTAAAAACAGCACTGTAACGGCACGGGAAAATTACGTCAAACGATCTTTTTAAAGGATGGCATACGCGGATTTGCCATGTGATTTTAGATTTTCAAATTTCATATGTAAATAATCTACCCGACATTCTTAAGGTGAAGCAAAACATCGTGATTCAACCTGCACATATCAGAGAATATATTCAAAGAACGGTCTTTGACTACCGAGTCAACCTACCCGCAGTGGGTCAGCGTTATCTATGACCTAGTCACCGTAACTTAGGGTAGGCTCCGAGACTCTCGGTGGGGATGTAGAGTGAGCTGGTGATGTGATGATACACGGATTTATCGGCATCTGCAACCGTTCGTCGTTAAGCAATTAAACCCCACTGGGACCGTAGTTGTTCTTAAATTCCCTATACGTCGCGACAATTATTCAATTAAAATTAACATTTTAAATACAAAGATGTTACAATAATTTCGCAAACGTGCCTAATTACACAAGGAAACATTCTACAAGTACTAAAACTTTACAAGTCCGTAAGACTTAATGTGTACACAGATTGTACATAGTAAAGGGACTTCTTACGTTAATATTTGGATAGTATCAATACAGAGTGGTGACGCAGGTGTGTTCCCTTCACGCGTACGAGATTAAGAAGATTAAGAACCATTTATATATATTACTTGGCTCATACTCTCGTAAGAGCCAATAACATTCAATTCAATGGGATATAATATAAAAATATATGATAGATTTATTTCGAGATTTAATGCAATAAGTGTTACCAAACTCGAATATTTTTTGTAATTTAAAAATGTGTTAACATAAATACCATATAGTTTAATTAGAGTTTGGAAGTTATGTGTTTATGTTTGCATTTCAGATAAATTTAATACATCTTACCAATAATAAATTGCGAGTGTTTAGATGGATGGATGGATGTTTGTTAGAGTTTGTAGCCAAAACGGCTGAACGGTTCCTAATGAAATTGGTATAGATGTAGAGCATAGTCTGGAAGAACACATAGACTTACTTTTGTTTTATTTTTAATTCTACGCGGAGGGAGTCATGAGCGAAAGCTAGTAAAATATATAAAAAATGATTGTTATTAGAATAACATACATTGTAAGGCAATACAAAAATAAATTGACTTGTTAATTTTACACAACATGACCAGATTAAAACGTTTTAACGAAAGCTAAATTGTTTTTGACTGTACATCCGCAATTTTTATTATGCAATCTAGTTTTCATATCATTTAAATCTTTTAAAGGTGTACGAATCAGGAATTAAGATGATTACTATCAAATTGCACTAGAAATGAAATCTTAAATAGAATGTTCATCAACTTATTAAAACTTTCGTGAGACATTATACTATATTATTTATTTATTTATAACACGGCTAAAACTCACGTGGGAACTTTCGGTGTAGGCACCGACCAGTTTCGAACCCGTAGGGGGTCCTTCTTCAGGGTGAGTGGATGGTGGTGATGATGGTTTTGCCACCCGCTTGGGACCCAGTGTTGCTAACTGCGAAACGGAATAACATCGACAGTGTAGAGGACAACCTGGTGGACATTGTCAGCGTATTTTGTGCCCCCGTGAACAATAACACCATCAACTCTTCAGTTTCGAGTTCGTCTCCACCGACGCACAGCGTCCCCCCCGCACCCCCCGCGCCCCCCATCCTGTCGAATCGCGCGTTGCGGGCTAGGGCACGCAGTGACCGTCGCGACGCGATAGCGAATAAAGCCGGCATCCACTCACCCTGAAGAAGGACCCCCTACGGGTTCGAAACTGGTCGGTGCCTACACCGAAAGTTCCTACGTGAGTTTTAGCCGTGTTATAAATAAATAAATAATATAGAATGTTCATCGTTTATCTAATTCAAGTGATGTAATGCATAGAAGCGTATTTCAAAATTTTTTGTCGTTACTTAGCATTATTGTCCAAAACAAGTGTGTAATTCAAACTCTTGAGGCTTTTAACACTAATGGGTTCGATCTATTTGCAACGATAACCAAAGTTGCCATCATTAATCCTTTCGAAATCATGATTTGAATTTAGAATGACATGATAGTTAATTTAATAAGTAAATTTAATTTCTAAGGGCCTGTCCCATCACTGGCTGATAGAGACTCAGATAGCTTAAAAATGACGACACTGTCAGATAAGGTAACAAAATCCGATATTTCCATCACAAATTTTACACGTCTGATTGTTATCAGACAATTTACAATTTGGTGGAATAGGCCCTAAATATTTTAAGATAACCTCAAGTACTGGTAACCATAGGTTTTAATTGCTACAAAATTATTATAATAACATTTTGATCCCTTTTATTCGCTTTCAATTGCAGACAATAATGTCTCTTTACAGGTTTATTGGCACGGTAGAAACCCACTGTTAGTGTGAAGCGAATGCTAATTTAAGTATGTAGCGTCATCCCACATAAATTACCACCGCAAACATCTTGTCAAAACACAACGGAACTCCGTCGTAATGGCTAGAGGTCAAAGAAATGTTTCTTCGCACACTTACCACGAAATATAAGAATATTTCTGAATGCAATTTGTGTCAGGTCGCGACACAATAGATGAAGAATTTTGAAATTTCAATGCATATCTTATTTTTATAGACAATATCTTACGTTTTTGTTTTTTAATTAATAGCAGCTTTTTATTGGCGTTAGTGTGTCATATTCTAAAAGTAATAATGTTGATCTTTAACTTTTTTTTACACAAATAGATTATGTAGTTATATTTTATTAGAATTATAATTGCTGTAGTTAATAATAAAATATTAAACAACATGTTAATAATTTTATTTAGTCTCTCCGGGATATCGTTACTAGTTGTGCTTTGTTTATATAATGACTAGAGCTGAGTAAACAGTATTTTCAAAAATAGTATTTAAATAAAAAGTAGTTGAGAGTTCGAGCGATACCAGATCTTGTGTTGGATACAATGACCGCGGCTCCAGTTTAGATCCACTTTACCGTTCACGCTGGATGCTTTTTATGATTATAATGTAACGCTTTGGCGTCAACTTCATGATTCGTATTAAATAATACCGTTGAACGATTTTTTTATGTTCAAAAGTCACTTGAAACTCAAGGCATGTTAATAATTATTGAACTTTTTTAAAAAATCTTATTAAGACATGAAACGCTACAAGACTATAAAAAAGCTTTTATTATATATTTTTACAAAAGATGGAAAAATTAGACATTTTTTGAGAGTTTTCCTATGGGCTGATCCTATGGCCCACCTATTGATCGAAGCGATGGGATGTTTTTGTTGCATTAAGCTAATCGACTCCACACTAACCCAGCGAAAAGCATCCGTATTATAAAAATATTAATTGATATGTCACAAAGGTTAATGCAATATCACTCTCATATAAATAAAAGACAATATGTCTTCATTTCACTTAAGAGAAAGTATACCAAACCAATCTCGACAATCCTTTATATCACAGGCATGTATTTTTTATATCTGGCCAGTTGTAAACATTTCCTTTTAAAATATTTGTCGTTGCACTTTGACCGTATATGACCGAGACCAGGTCATAATACTGCATTAGTGCAATACACAGTTAAGTTCACCCACTTTCACAAAAGTCCTTTTAGGAATTATCATAATGAAAATGTGTGAGCAAAGTTCCGAAACTGTAATAGGAAAACTTTTCTGTTATTATGTTAAATATGCACCATTTTCAAAATATGCTTAGTTGCTACTTTTTGAATTAAGCATAAAGTTATACAATTAATGTACTACCTGCCGCACTCAGAGTGGTCTTTAGAATTGATTAAATATGAGAAATATCACTAAGGGTATCCTTTAGACACTAGTTGATGATTCGAAGTACAACAGTTGCATGTGTCATATAATGAGTTGTGAATATTTATATCTAGCTTTCGCCCGCGACTCCGTCCACGTGGAATAAGAAAAAACAAAAGCAAGTAGTCTATGTGTTCTTCCAGACTATCCTTTAAATCTATAGCAAATTTCATAGAGTTCCGTTCAGCCATTTAGGCTACAAACCCTAACAAACATCTTTCAATCCATCTAAACTTTCGCATTTAATTTTAGTAAGACTTGGAATGAATACATTAATTAATTTTATTAATTTTCTCAGTTTCAGGTGCCGGGAGTAGTGTATGGGCGCGCAAGATGCTGTGGCTCCTGCTCTCCGCGGCGTTGGTCTGCGCTAACCAAACACAAGAAAGGTAAATATTCTCGTTGTAAAGTACCGAAGGTTCGCAGATATTACTATTAAACATACAGATGTATATCTGTATTATCCTGCAAAGTGAAATAAACAATTCGTGACAATTTTAGAACAATATCTTACAATTGTGATATTTTCTTAACTAATTTTGGCAATAGAACTACGTTACGCTAATTAAATACAAAGTTTAAAATGAGTTATTGTAATTTTTCAGGCGCTCCAAGCCGTACATAGCTGATGCGCTTGGAAATACTTTACCGCCACCTTCAAATCTACCGGCAACAGTTGGAAGTCCAGTCAATTTGTTGACACCTGATAGATATGAGTTCTATACATTTGATGAATCAGGAGAACTGGTTAAAAGACTCATGACCTTAGAAGAGATTCAAGCTATTGTCGCAGCTGGAGAAGATACGGAAGGTTTGGTCACCTTTGCGAACGACAATCAACCAACCATAGCTTTTAATTTCAGTCAACCTCCCTATACGAAGGTACACAGTGTGGTAACTAATGTTCAAAATGTTTTGAAGGCTCAAATGGAAGCGCACAAGAATAAACCTCTTATGCGACCTACTTTAGATACTCCTGATGTGTCTGACTCGTGGAGTTTAATTCTACCTTCAATTTTCGGGAACACTGGTCTTGATATAACTCCTGATAAAACAACTGGATCCTATATTACTCCTGAAACAGACACTATAGAATTAGATCACCAACTTTACGACGAGGAATCATTAAGCAAAGAAGGAAATGGTCAAATATTAACAAGTTCTACGGAAGCAGCGCTTGAAAATGAGTTGCGCTTTACAAGTACTCCAAAACCAAATTTGACTCAAAAAACTACGTCTACAACAACTTTTAAACCCTCTACCACACGTGTGCCAACTACTAAGAATAGTTTCACCAAGCCAACCACAACCACGACTACAAAGCCACGATCAACTACTACTACAACAACCACCAAGCAAACAACAACCACCAAGCAAAGACCAACTACCACCACGACAACTGTCAAGTTAAGACCAACCACCACTACAACAACATCAGTAAAGCCAAAACCAACTACCACTACAACAACTACGTTTAGGCCAAAGTCTACCAGCACCACCACAACAACAGTCAAGCCAAGACCCACCACTACAACAACTGTCAGGCCAAGAACCACAACGACAATCAAGCCTACAACAAAGCCGACTTTAATGTTATCAAGTACTACCGTAACACCTATCTCGACAACCTCTAAAGAGAAAACATCGCCTACTACAGAAATAATACCAGAAAAAGTCACAGTTGCTACTGAGCGATTAGAAATTGATTCGCATCATGAACAAATAACGAAAAGAGATGATATACAATACGAAAGAATTAGCACATTTATACCTGTTTCAACTTTTACGTATTTACCAGATCGTACAACAAAGTTGCCTTTGCAAGAAACAAACGATAATACAGCGCAATTTAATGGCGACCTAAAGAATACATTGCCATCCACCTTAAAATCACCAACAACCACGACATCAACCTTCGATATTGTATCGTCAACAAACAATCAAGAATTAGAAAAAAATAACTCAACAACGATTACTACTCAGTCTGTTTCCCCGTCAACTTCTGTAACGTCCACGCAAAGCACTTCGACAGAACAATCAATAAAAAAAATTAACGTGGAACAAAACTATGGAAACACAAAAGTTAGTACTACTACTGTTGAAAGTGAACCAATGGGTTCTCTCTTTGACGTTGCTCAAAGTATTAGTCAAATAGCTTCTGATCTTGGTGGCGCATATAGACCTACATCATCATCAAATGATTTGATGGAAAGTACATTAAGTAACGGAATGAAATTAGAGAGTAAAGAAAATTTAGACATAGAAATACCCTCAGAAGTAGATAATAATGGTAAAGTTAAGATAGATTTAAACAATAATACTGATAATTATATTAAAATTTCAACTATAGACCCGCACGATAAAAGGGAAAATACAACGATAGTTTCTAAAGAGAATTCTAATGATAACATTAATTTAGAAACAACAAGTTCACCTACAATTGCTTCAATCACTACTTTGGATCCTGTTTTATCAGAGTCAATGGGCGATTTATTGTCTCAAGTAGTCAATGAAGGCCCTGACAACAAATTTGATGGAGATAATTTGTCACAAACTGACAAGAAAATGTCTGTAACTGAACTACCAACTGTAGTAACAACTGAGTACAAAGAAAATGTTGAATTAACATCCGAGGTTGATGTTAATAGTATCAATATTATCACATCATCCGAGGTACCCTCTATTTCTGTTATGGATATTATTAAAGATGAAAATAACACCACAACACAAATAGAAAATTCTGAAATCCCAGAAAATAAGAATAATGTAGAAAAGGTTTCTACAATAAACTCTGCGTTATCTGAAGATAAGTCTACCTTAACAATTTCTGTGTCAAATATTAATTCCAACATAAAGAACGACACAGTTCAATTATATAGCGAAAATGAAAAGGTAGCTCAATTTAATACGCAAGATACTAAATCTGCAAACTCTACATTGCCTTCGTATAAATCTGACACAGAGCAATCTCCTGAAGACAAAATCAAGGATTCTAACGTTTCAGACAAAACCAGTTTCGATTCTGACAAAATAGAACAAAAGGAATTTGTGGCAATAAAACAAAGTGAAAAAGTTTCTGAAACAAAAGTTCCCCCAAAAGTTGAAGATTTTAAAAAGAAAATTCAAAAAGTTAATATAGACGATAAAGAACTAGGGAGTGACAGGAACAACTCGTGGAAATTAATACCAACTGTATCTCCAACTAAAATCCATGAAGTGAAAAAAAATTCTAAGGACAAGCCTAAAACAGACAGTTACAATTTACCAGAGAATGATAAAAATATTATATTAGACTTTTCCAAAGAAAATCAAGGCTTAGAACTAACTACTAAGGACTTGAATGAAGATGTTGCACAGTTTACTAACCTGTGCAATGAACTAGCTTTCAGATATTGGAACGACTTAGAGGAAACTATGGACGCAAAAAGGAGTTTTGTATTTTCTCCTTATGCCGTCACTTCGATGTTGGCTATGATGTTTATGGGTGCAAGAGGCGCAACCTCGGGAGAAATGAATGAAATATTAAAGCTGGATGATATGGTAACATTTAATCCACACTTTACACTAAAAAATATATCTGATTCAATAGAAATGACGCCAGCTTCAGGAGTAGCTGTCTCAGCTTTCATAAGGGAACTGTATAGTGATAGAAACAAAGGCAAAATTTTAACATTTTACAAAGAAAGAGTGCAACATTTCTATAATGGTCATGTCGAGGAGGTGAACTTTAAATTGATCAGCGATATTATACGTAGACGAACAAATTTACTGGTGAAGAGATATACTTGGGGGAAGATATTGGAATTTATGAAAACCAATACTATTGTCATGCAACCTCCGTTGGCAGCTTTCTCGGCTAATATTTTCCAAGTAAGTAACTATAAATATAAATTTAAGCTGACTAATTCCTAATACACAAATATAACAATTTTGATCACACTTTATTGTGTAATAAAGTTCTATGTTTACCATATGTCATTTAACAATTTTAATTAATAGCTTATATAATTTATTAAAAAGTGAATTTTAAAATTTCAGACGGATTGTTCTGGAACCTCTGTCGATGGAAGAGATGGAGAATTGTATTTCGTAGTATCGCCAAACGTGCGCCAACGAAGACTGGTGCCTGTACCGGCTGTCGTGTATAAAAATAACTTCTTGGCTGGCTACGACCCAACTCTTGATGCTACCGCTGCCGCTTTAGGAAATATAAATTCAATCGTCAGTACCATCTTCGTAATGCCTGGTCAGCAAGGTAATATCGTACATGCAGAAGACTTGGAAGAATTAGAGAAACGTTTACTAGGCTCCGAATCAACTATTACTGCATGGAATCGCTTATTACGTACTCTTCTCCCACGTGTCGGTCTCGAACTCCAGATTCCTAGATATTCTCATAAATCTACATTTAATATTTCATCGACTTTGCAAAGGATGGGGCTTAAAGATTTATTTGATGAGGAACACGCTGATTTAGGTGGATTGAATGGACCGTCGAAGGATCTATATCTGTCAGATATGATACAGTCCAACACCTTTGTTACTTGCGGAGAAAACATGATCGGAGAGCAGCATCACATAGAACAGTATCCAGAATTACAAAAGCGTCGGTCAGCGAGGTGGGTGCACGGCTGGGATGAGCCAAGAGATTATCAGCGAGCTTTCCACGACCCTCATGATGTTGGTGAAGCGATGCATTTGCCGTTACATTTGCGACCAAGACAGGCGCGTCTGCCAGCGAGAAACGCTCAACCAGCGAGATTAAAGTTCGACAGACCTTTCTTGTTCTTTGTCAGGCATAACCCTTCAGGCATGATACTCTATGTCGGACGATACAACCCGAGGCTTTTGCCGTGAAGTTTCAGTAAAGACTGTTAGTGTAGTGTAGTTAATAATATTCCTTTAAGGAAAGTGATAAGGTTTCATGCTGACGCGTGTGATACGAAAGATTCGATGAGCATTTACGTGACAGTATTAATTATTAGTGTCTTTATATGCATTACAATCGTTGCTGTGCATTACTGCATATACATACGTATGAGAAGATGCTATGAATAATAAAATAAAATAATTTTAGAATAGTTAATTATCATAAAGAACCGTGTCATCTCATTATCATAATGTCATACATTCATTTTAAATAAATTCAATGTTTCATAAATATATTATTATTATTTAGTAATTCTAACAATCCTTGTAGAAGATATTAAGTCAAAATTTTAACACTTATGTTATCCAGGGATAATTCAGCATTCTGTTGGAAAAATAATTTTAAAATTAATCCAGTAGTTTTGTATTAAATACTTTTAACATTCGAAAATACAGATGTATATTTGTACCATGTGTACATAATATATTATTGTGTGAAATATTTAGCGCAAACATCAACGTGATTCTTCAATTCCTTGCAGTCATAGTCCTTTAAGATCCACTTTGGGCACATCTGTAAAATAATACATGTTAAAATCACTGGCCGAATCGACTGAACCAAAACAAAGTTTATTTATTTCTATCGTATTTTAGTTTTATAAAAGGTAAAAATTACTTGTTTATCTTATCTTTATAATCTTAATAGTTCTACCCAAGTATAATTATTCATAAAAACTATTTATTTCAGTTTTAATTAAACAGTTATTAAAAACACAATTATAAATACGAAAGTTTAAAAGTATGATAAAGAAAAAGCAAAAGTACCTATTAAAAAAACTATTTAACTAGACTGTCTACTGTTTATAGCTACTGCGAAATCAAAATAATCTAACCTATAGCGTGTACTTATTGGATGTAAGGTAATGCTAGGATACTCTTTACTTTTAATTCTCGAATTTGTCCATTGACAGTGTGAGAGTGTTCACTCACCATAATAGCAACATTGGCAATGCAAGAAAGAAATTTATTAGGTTCACAAAGTTCACGTGGTCCTGGTATTTGTTTCCCAAGACATCTCGCCTTTCCGACACGTGTTATTGGCGCATAATCTGGATAAGCTTCAGTCCATACATCCATAAAGCGTTGAATAATATCACGATCGATTTTATCATCCTCTTTGATAAAATTTAACGTTTTAAAGACACACAATTGCTTGCTGCACTAAAAGTATTTAAACATTTTAATTAAGACATTAGTTAAATTATAAAAATTATAAATAAATGGAATTCATCTTACATCCGCTAAGCCGTTTGTATTATTCTTTTGAAAATTATCCGACAAGTTGCAGAACTCGAAATTGTCTTTCGAGAATACGGATGGTATATCACAGCATTTTCTTGGATTTTCCTATAAACACAAAAATAACTTAATAAAAAGTGCAATACGACTTACGCCGACCGGTTAAGATCTGGTACCAACTGTTAGAAGCAGAACGTATATGGCTTCCCATATAGATAACTTACAATTAATGGAAGCTGCGTACATTGCTGGGATGGATCTTGAGGCGGTTGAGGCAGACATAGTGATGTGGGAGGGAGCCATCTGCAGTGTGTCACCACTGCGGCGATTGTGCTGACGACACCGCACAGCATACGCTGGAGGAGTGTCCCGCGTGGGAAGCAGAGCGTCAGAACTTAAGAGCCGTGGTGGGCGACAACCTCTCCCTACCGGCCTTAGTCAAGACCATGGTCGAGTCGGACCAAGCATGGACTGCCGTTCAAAGATTTAGCGAGGAGGTGATCTCGCTAAAGGAGGAGGCGGAGCGGGTTAGGGAAGCGAATTCCGAAAACCCAGCTCGGCAACGCCGTACTGGGAGGAGAAGGCGAGACTATGCTCTAGCCTTTCCTCCATAGCTTGTCTCGGGTGAGGGACGAGGGGAGGTCCGCATCCAGTAAGAGATAGAGAGGGCGCGCACGGGTTCCCGCGCACAACAGAGGCTGAACGATCCTTGAGGAGGTCTACAACCATCACCATCGGGGTGTGTGATGAATATTGACATGTGCCCATGCCCCGGTGAACGGTGAAGTCGTGGGAACCAGAGGGGGTTTAGTGGGTAGGCTCCACGTTCCTACCCTTTTGGGCAGAAATGTGGAGAGAGTCCCACATACCCTGTGTGTCTTTCCCCAAGGCACCTGGGATGCGTAACGCATTCCCCCTCTTAAAAAAAAAATAAAAAAAAAAAAAAAGACATAGTGATGTGGCAAGCTGTAAGTCACAGAAAATTTTCCTGCTTTAAGTTAACTTAGCAGGCGCACACCTTTAGCAATTATCGCACAACTGTAGCCGATTGTCGATTGTTTTGCACCCAATTAAACAACTAAAAATCGAGCACCATAGTGTGTGCACCTCCAAATAAGCACATAGGAATCAAAGCGCAGCGGTTGTATGATGATTTCGTCAAAGGTGTGCGCTCTCTCAGCTAATGTTCTACTTTTAGTCTTATTGTATTTTAATAAATAAAAAACGTACCTGGTTAGCTATGGGCAATAATAACGTACTATAAAACAGCATGTTGACCACTGACTGTAGTATATTTGGTTTTAAACAAATAATCTAATGTCTTATATATTTATGAATTTCATTAGTAAACTCGTTTACTTGTAATCAAGAACCGTTTCAGTTTTAATATGAATAAAATTATAACTAATTTCAACGTTTATTTCGTGTTAAAACTATTGTATGTAAACATAGGTTTTTTTTTAAGAAAGGCAAGAAAATTACTATACAATGCCACAATAAATGAATTTATAGAATATGTTGAAATATTTTATTAAATAAATACAATAAATAAACGTACGTTTAGACGTATGTTAATTGTTACAATTTTAAATCATGGATGTATTATGAGAAATATTTAGAGCATGTGTCGATGTGATTCCTCAGCTTGTTGCAGTCTTCGTCACCGGTCACCCATTTTGGACATTCCTGAAACAATATAAGAAATAAAGGTAAACAAAGGGCTAGTCACTAGTTCATTTAATTTTACACATGAGTAGAGGATTTTAATTAAGATCTTTTTATTAAATTACACTTAAAATTGGCTTTAAAAAATGTAATACTTCGCATCGCTAGTGACTCCTATCGCGCCGAATTAAAATAAAAGACTATGTGTTCTTCCAGACTATGTTCTACATCTGTGTTTATCAGCGAGCAGATGCAACAAACACCCATCCATAGAAACTTACGCATTTATAATATCAATGCGAAAGATTGACTTTTAAAATTAGTATTTTTTTTGTGTAATGCAAATGGCATCGAGAATAAATCCGTAATAGTGGTTAAATATATTTTTGTAGTTATATTTTGAGATATGCATTTTTTAAATTTCTAACTAGAACATCAAATACTTACCGTGAAAAGAACAGAGCTGATGCAAAAAACGATTTTATTTGCTTCACATATTTCAACCGGGCCGGGGATCGCCTGTGCTAGACATTTCGACTTAGCTGATTCCACAGTTGGTTTGAAATCTGGGTTAGCTTCAACCCATTTGTCCATAAAACTTGACATAGCTTCGTGGTCGACTTCATCGTCGTTTTTAACAAGATCACGACTCTTCAGTAAGCATAATTGCTTGGTACACTGAAAATTACTTTCTTTTGAGTACTTTATTAAATAATGTTTGAAAGTATAATTGACTTGTATTATAATTATATTAATCAGAGAATTCAGAAATGAATTTACAGTTTAAAAACACCAAGCTCCTGTTAAGGGTTGTAATATAGATTATAATAGCATAGATGGCGTTGTTCTCAACTTTTGAATATCTTTAAGATACTGGATAAATATTCAAATTCATTCGCCAATATTGCTATTGTTGCTTCATTATAAACTACGTCGATAGTTAATGTTAACTAAAAAATACTCACGTCTGGAGGTCCGTGTTTAGGCTTATCAACATGCTCTTCCTTGAAGCCACAATTTTCAAACTCCTCTTTTGAAAATATTGGTGGTATTTGACAGCATTTTCTTGGATTTTCCTGTTAGTAAAAGAGTTTTGTTTTAATGTCTTTAGCCTTATTAATGAAATAATAATCTCATAAAATGTTAATGAAATAAATAAATTAATATTAAAATAGTCCAGCTCTTGAGCTAAAATAATAAAAAGATTGTATATTACATTATTTTTTTATGTAGGATTTGCATTTATTAATTTCCATGCATTTAGGATTGATGCTATAATAAAAAAGAAGCAAGTAAAAACTCCAGTATATTAATTGTTTTTTGCACTGTAAATGTGCTCACAAGCAATAATATACACGTATTCAGTTATAAATATACGAAATAGTTAATGACCAAAAACTTAACAGACCGTGGAAATTCTAATAAAACATCTTGTCGAAGATTTTAACTGCCACAGTTTTATAGCGACTACTTGTAATAAAACAGAATTATAAATTACTAGCTTTGGCCTGCGACTTCCGTGCAGCATTAATAAGAACATTAATAAATAGTGTATGTGTTCTTCTAGACTGTTCTTTATGCCTTTCATCGACATCTGGTAAGCAGTTTTAGAGATAAATTATAATTATAATAAATATGTGTCTATTCTATTCTATTTCTTGTATATGGCTCTCCCTCAACGGATTAGGTCAGTGTCAAGTGCTTGTGGTTTGTTTTCTAATTGTATTCCGGCAACAAAATTCTGCTTATGGAGATGTTCGTGGGAGTACAATCGTTCTAAAGATTTTAAACATTATGTAGTCTATATTAGATAATAATTGTAACATTTAAACCCATTTAAATTTGTCAAATGCAAAAAATACTTGGATATCGTAAAGATCGATATGTACGAGTGCTAAGTTTCTGATCAGAATGTCCGAGATGTGTGAAGTGGAAGAGATTGGCAAAGAAAGCTGGCCCCACTACCATATGAGATACAGGCTAGAGTGTGTGTATGTGTGTGAAGGAGAGAGAGAGAAAGATATCATATAAAGAGGTATATTCAGGTATCAAGTCGGGATTATTGGATACAATTAAATACTTACTATATGTGGAGGTCGTAGACATTCTGCTGGTAGATTTGGCGGCAATGGCGGTGGACCCTGGGATGTTGAAATCTGAAAGTATTTACAAAATCATTTAATACAGTAAAAGATTAAAACGGACACTTTGTGTACTCGGAAAATATGCTTTTTGCAATCTTATTGTGAGATAAAGTAATTATTTTTATACCTCATACAATAAACTTGACATAATTACTGTTGTAACTGATTAATTGTTAATTATGTCAGTTTCTAATCGAACTTATCATCATCGTTTACAATTTAACGTTACTGGAAATTTATAAACTGCCGAAATGAAATCTCCACACTGTAAAACGATTCACATTTACACACTGTACTTGGAGGTATATTAAAATAATGTTTCCAAATGAACATCTGGCGTCAAGATATCCAATGAAGTTCCGGCAACATTAATTTACAAGTAAAATAATTAAAAATACTAACCTGTAAAATAGTTCCTAGGATAAATAAGCTGGGTAATGTAAACATGATGATCTCTATACTTGCGGAGATGTAGTGATAGCTGGTGGTAGGATACAATAGTTTTTATATCGCAGTTCCAGCGACCCTGACCATTGTCGGACGCTGAACAATCAAGGTGCACACGCCATAGATTAGATAACGTACAGATGGGACATTAATCAATTCACAGTTATTACACTTTTAAATTTGGAACTTGTACTGGTAAATCTAAGTGAGTTATTAATTACTGTTGAACATTGGCTTTATTTCGTCATATAGTCTACTATGAAAAGGCTAAATATGAAATATAAATAATCTTTAGCTGTCTTACATTCAGTTTGATGTTTTTTTAAAATATCGTCTACGATTTATTTGGTACGCCAATATTATTTTAGCGGACATTGAAAAAGTCATAAATATGCAAGAATGTGAATGCAACCATAAACTAATCAGGACTTTTTTTTTTAAATTTTAAAAAAAATTATAAAATTTCTTAGTAAATAATTATCAGTACCAAATTGAGAAAATGAGAAGAATTAAATTGTTAAAAATTAAGTAAAAACCTCTTATCTTCTTTTTCTTGTCGACGCTGCTAACATTGTTAATCTTTGACAGAGTCCAGCCTACGACAAAATGTGACTTTTTACAATAAATGTCATTCATTTCACCCGACACTTAAATTAAAATGTTAATGTTATTTAAATATTCGTTTAACAAAACTGCATGTGCCCGAAATAGTCGAATTAGGCAATAAATTCGAAAAATTGCAACATCCATCGATTGTTGCGAAAGTATGTCCTTCTATTGTGTTCATTATATTTCTAGTTCGCTAGTTCTCTATTGAAATGGATGAGTTTTATAGAAACGTTGTCGTTTTTTATAGTAAATCACCTCATAGTACCACCATAGACATGTTTAGTACAGACAGTAATCGGCAGCAGTATATTCTAAACTTAATTATATTTAGAACTAAATAATTTCTCAATCGACTGACTTTAAGTTGTAAAAATGTCTGGTATTTTTAATTTAACGTTTATTTATTTTTAAAAGTTCAATGACCGCGTGTGTGGCTAGTTTAATTCCGTATTAACTTATTTTCATTTGATTTATTCCACATGATAATTGTAGACATCTAAAAGGATTTAAATTATACTAGCCTTTGCCCGCTACTTCAACCAAGCAATATTAAGATAAAAAATTAGCCTATAATATGCCCGTCTGACATAGCTAACTTTCAGACAGACAAAAATTTTTACATGCGATTTTCGTTATCAGCAATGCAAATACATCTTCCTGTAGTCTGGAATTTTTCTTTTGATGTTAAAAACAGATACTACAATTTCATTATATGTATAGACTACCTGTTCCCGTGCGACTTCATCCGCATAAAATTATGAAAATTTTATTTCATTGTTTACATGTGTCAAATTATCAATTGCAAATGTCAAAATGACATGACATGATGACAACCTTGCTTCTTTAATGTTGGCAGCAACTTATGGGCTCTTTGCCACATTAGGGTTTTTAACCAAAATATTTACCCTCTAAGTTTAATGGTGTTAAAATATATAGCCTAAAGCGTGACGCAATTGTAGGGCTTTTTTTTAAAAGAAGAATTATTCAAAAACATGCTGTAATTGCTGACATCTTAAGCAACAAAGAAGTGTGTGTACGCTTTATTATAATAGTATAGATAGGTAAGGATACACAAGTAACATTTTATGACATTGAATTAAACAAGGATCATATATCTAGAGTATTATGTAGTCACCGACCTTAAGTATCATATTAATATGGAAAGGGACATAGGGCACTTATTTAAACGCTTTGTATCCTATTTCAATACAAAATATATTTACATATACGTGTGGTTTACAGATATAAAAGATCTAGAATCATTAAGTACAAGAATGTATTTGTAAGGAAAATATGTTTAAAATTGTTTAAGTTTTTGTGGTTAGACCATAAAGTTTACAACAGAGTGATCTCAGTATTCATTGTGTAACTTGAAATTTACATTATGTACAAGTCTAACAAATTAGTGTGGGCGTCACAGCCATGTTATGCTTTTAAAAATATAGTCTTCTTTACCTCTTATGTTTTCTTCCAATTTGCACATAATAACCTTACCAATATGGCTGTCGTGTCGTCGAGCTAATGCAACACCCTTATTTTTGACATCCGACTACTATCCGATTATTAACATAACAAGCAGAATTATGACATTTTAAAACCATGACATAAATATCTAAATAATGTCTTGAACCACAATTACAAAGCTTATATCGTTATTTCTAATTATGACAAATGGTATTGATTTATAGCACAGACTAAATAACCTTCAAGAATACAGAATACATCAAAATAGTTAACAAGCTAACATTAGTTTAAAATGAAGTTATTACTTACAGTTTTTTTGTTTATATATGAGAAGCGCGCAAACGAGATCAGCGAAACAAAAGGAACTACAGTTGCCGGGTTTATGTACAGATGGATTTATTACAATTAGCTACAAAAAAATTCAGATAATTATGTATGTTGATAACCAAGTTTAAAGTTAAAGCTAATGTTAGCAGTTGCTTTCCAACAATAACCGAAATACCGATTCTTAAGATCGATTTGAAATCTTACTAATATTGTAAAAGCGAAAGTTTAGATGGATGTTTGTTAGACTTTTTAGCCTAAACGGATGAACGGATATCGATGAAATTTGGCATAGATGTAGAGGATAGTCTGGAAGAACACATAGGCTACTCAAGTTTATTTTTTAATTCCACGCGGACGGAGTCGCTGGCGAAAGCTAGTATTATATACTTTTAATTTCTTTCTATAGGACTGTAAAATGACCCAATCTTTTTTACAATGTAAAGTATTACCTTATCTATTACGAAAAGATCGATTAAATTAGAAGACCATACCTTAAATAAATTAAAAAAAAGTGTACATTATATCGTAATTTTGTGGTAACCCTAACAGCTGTAAAATGTATACAGCATTACGATTACTTATTTATAATTTTGATAACATGTAAGCCATACAAACGTGAGCACATGATTCCAACCAACTGTAACATTACACGGCTTATAATAAATGTGATGATCGCGCTTACATCCGTTTACAATTTACCTTTTGATATATTTACATGATAGATGTGCATAACTTATTTATGTAACATTAGCGACTTGCCCCAGCTTCACACAGGTCCAATGCTGATCATCATCGGATTCATCACCAGCTCACTATAAGTCCCCACTGAGGGGCTCGGAGCCTACTCTAAATTAGGTATCGTATCATGTTTCGATCGATATGTTTATTAACGACATCACTTTAGAAACCTCTAAAATTATCTGTATTTCTCTACTATATTTTACACTATCTTTTGACTGCTACTCCATAGGCGATAAATTAAAGAATAAACAAAAGCAAGTAGCCTATTTGTTCTTCCAGACTATGTTCTACATCTATGCAAAAATTCATCCAGATTCGTACAGCAGTTTAGTCTACAAACTCTAACAAACATCCATCCATCTAAACTTTCGCATTTATGACATTAACGATATAAACCTTTCTATTGAATCACTCTATTTATTAAATGCAGCATCGAAATCCGTTGCGTAGGTTTTGAAGATCTAAACATACATATAGACAACAGCAGGAACATACTTTATCTTATGTAGTGACTTTGTTAACGTTGAGAAGTTAAATGGTCTAAATATTTGCTACTTCCGGTTAACTCTGACAGTGGAATTTTGCTAAAATAACAGCAGTTAGACTTACATTAAAATGTATTTATCTCAATTTGCTCCGAAAAAAAAAGGGATCAATCCCTAATCACATGTAGTTGTTTAGAAGAGTTTCTTGGAAACCCAATGTTTGCATTTATATAGCATTCTGTTGATCTGACTCTTGTATTTATTTTATGATTTTTTTAAATAATCACATAACTCTTTGAAACCACACAAGGTTCTATACAAAAAAAAAATCATATGATTCATAACAAACATAAACATTTGCTTGTTTTTTTTAACAAACCAACATCTAGCGTCTTCAAATTTTTATCTTAACCGTTATTTCTTTCATTGAATAAGCATTGAATCATTTTTGTCGCGTGCACAGTTATCTAAAACAATGAGTAAGATTTCTTCAATTTCCTTCCTTGTCGGAAATTGACTTTTGTTTTTCTTTACCATGATCTTGTTGTTTTCAGGATACTGTTTAAGAAATACATTTCATGTTGTTTTTGGATGCGATCGCATAACTTGTACCGTCTTCGTACACAAAGTAATGCAAATCTTTTAGACTTATGGTGTCGCGATATCGCGTTGCGTGTGTAGATTTGGTCCGCCATCTTGAAAATCGTAGGGACATCTTTTACGATGATCTTAACAAACAGGTTGACTGGCGTTGATAGATAGAAATATCGTCTGTATGACATTTATCGTGTAAGACATCGCACACCTTTAACTAAATTATTGCACAACTGTTGTACGATTGTCGATTGTTTCGCAGCTAATTCAATTGTTTAGTCTCAAAACTTAAAATCGAGTAGTGTGTACACCTCTATTTCAGCGGTATTTCCAAACCAATACGACTTAGGGTCCTTCAAGAAGCGAGCCTATCATTTCTTCAAAGGCCGGCAACGCATGTGTTCCTCTGGTGTTGCGGATGTCCATGGGCGTCGCTGACCACCTCGGTGTTCTCGCCGCTCGTTTGCCCCCCTTTAAAAAAAAACTCTTAGGAATCAAAGCAAGACTAAACAGTTGTGCAATAGTTTAGTTTTAATTAGTATTACCATTTAGCCTTAATATTACCATTAAATTCCACTGTTGAGACACAATATTACTTCTTACTTATATAAATGCGAAAGTTTAGATGGATGGATGGGTGTTTGATAGAGTTTGTAGCCTAAACGGCTGAACGAATTTCGATGAAATTTGGCATAGACGTAGAGGATAGTCTGGAAAAACACATATACTACTCATTATTTTTTCACGCGTTTGGAATCGCGGGCGACAAGTAATAATAGATATTGTAGTCACTTTATAATAATCAGTATCATAAAATTAATAATCTATGTGCATATATCATTCCATATCTGGTTAATAATTGACAGTTGTTATTATTAAAATACAATACATTTACATTAATTTATATCATCATCTTGTCAAGTTGAAGTCTTCTTGTAAAGATTTAATACGTGCATTGAATTATGACAAAAATTACTGTGGTAACTGACAGCATTTTTAAAGGCAAAATATTTAGAAATACAACGAATTGGATTGAGAGACAATGATAAAATTATTCTATCAGTTCTGAAACTTTAATTTTTCCAGTAAATTCTAAAATTCGCAATGAATATTTGTTAGCAGGCAACTTTATAATGGCTATTCGAATTTGTGTTAAGACAGATTTTAATTCCTGTGAGAAGAATGGAAGATTTTCTTTAAAATTATAACTCCGTAATGATATCCACAATTTTTATTTATGGACGAAGTTTACAACAATTAGTTGCGCTATAGTACCCAGCCTTCTTGTACTTGAGCGTATAATGAGCGTAGTGGTGAGTCGGATGTCCTCAAGGCAGATAGTCATCAAGGCGCGCGAATCAGTGTCAAGTGCTGTTGAAACCTTGGGCACTACGACAGTAATTACACCGGGACAATGAACTGAGCCCAACTACGCGTGGAGAATGTAATTAACTAATTGTTATAGGCATATTTTGTACATAACAATAGTGAATACAATCATCTAACTATGTTTGTGTTTTGTCTTTTTCTAAGTAGGTTGTCACAGTCAAAACTGTACACTTTTATAGACGAACTAGCTTTCTTCCGCGACTTTGTCCGCGTGGAATTTGAAAAAACAAAAGCAAGTAGCCTATGTGTTCTTCCAGACTATCCTCTACATATTTGCAAATTTTTTCTAGATCCATTCAGCAGTTTAGGCTACAAAGTCTAACAATCATCCATCCATCCATTTAAACTTTCGCATTTATAAAATTAGTAAGATTTTGTTAAAAACTATGTTTTTAGATTTTTTACTTAGATAGGAAATATTTTATCATTTGTTTAAGGTAATAGTGAAAAAAAGTTTAGATTTCCTGTAGCCTTGTTATTGTATTGTCTGTTATTTAAAAATACTACCATCTTTAACCTTACTGCTATAGTTAATAGGAAAATCCTTGCTTGTTACGCTAAGTACGAAATGAAATCATAACTTTCTTAAAATAAAACATTCACGTGAGAAAAGAAAAGTTATTTTAGGACATATTTTTTTATTTATTTCTTAACTTTACTGTCCATTGAAATTCATTACTGACTAAAAAAAATCATAACGTACTAATTTTTAATAATGTTGAGTGCAAAATACAATCTCTTTGGCTGACAAGCAATATGTATACAGCCAAAGAGGTTGCATACTGGCCACCAAGGCAATAAACGTTTGTAAAAAAAAATATAAAGGAAGAAGTCAAGATGTGATCGACATAGTTTTGAGTTTTAAGTTTTTTGCATATTTTTTGCGTAAATAAGTTTTCAATAAAGATGTTAGTATAAAAAAGTGTTTTGTATTTTTGGCTGCCGCGCTGTCGGTAACAAGTTAAACAGTTTATTCGATTTTTTGGTTCTTAATATCAAAATACAATTCATCTCAAATTCAGCAATCAGCATTTCCAAAACTCATTGGGACATTTCTGAAACAGACAAAAGTACTTAAAACCACTGAAGACAAGTTTAAATAATACCTTAAAAGACATTTGCAGGAATAATCTTTATATTCGGACATACCAATATTTTAAAATCTAAAAATGACATGCACATTGCACCTATAGTTTGTAACTACATTTAGCAATTAGTTAGTTCCGTAAATTCAAAACATTTAGATTATAAAGTAACGATGATACCAACTTTACGGTCACATGTTTTAAAAACCCTTTATGTTACCTTTAGCATTGCAATCCCAGTACACGCGAACACATCATAAGCTTTGCAAGGGTAATCGAGGTACTGTCTAAGATCTTTCTCAACACAATCATTGATTACTTTTTCTATAGCTACTGTCCATCCCTTGTTGTCTTCAAGCCACTTTAGAAGGTGTTTCTTATACGCTTCCTTGTTTAGAGTATTTTTGTCAGTTAGAAAACCGGATTTCTCGAAAACACACTCCACATCTTTACACTAAAAATGGTAATTTGTACATAATATAGCGTTCTGTTTGTAAACTGTTAACAAATCATTCTGATTGAATTGTATTTAAAAACCTTACCGGTCCTACAGGCCTCGGATTTGAGCATTCTGCTAAGTGTTTCAGATCTCCTAATTCAGGTATATCACAGCAAGCTGATATGGGTTTCTGGAATTAGTAAGTAGTCGTTATCTTAACATTAATTAATAATTAACTAGATATGGTAGATTCTTAATTGAAAATTTTTACGCCATTCTTACCAGAGTTGCTCCCCTGTTCGATGCTTGTACAAAGACATCAGCTTTTGTCATCTGAAATTGCAAATAATAAGACATGATAATTTCGTGATGGCGCCTGCCAAAATAAAATAGCAAATGCTAAATTATGCGATTTGCGAAATTAGTTAAGTAAGTGTTTTCGTTACTTGTTTTATTTGTGTAATAATTTGAATTTGTTAAAATTGGTCACTGACTAAAAATTAGTATTATAAATAACAGTGGAGAACCTCAAACTAATAAAAAACGAAGCATCTTTTATATTCGTTTGCACTTACTAAAGAATTTCTAGTACGGTCTCTAATGTCAGGAAATACCCCGTGACATTATTAAAGTCGACCTTAGTGATAAAATTATATTGAACATTAATTTGAGATAAGAAACTTAACAATTCTAATATTATTAAATTGTTACTAGAATTAACTCTACATTTAAGAAAACATGCTAAATAACCGTGAGTGCGATTAAAACAATGTATCCAAGAATATTAAATAACTAGTTTGTTAATTTACTTTGTTTCTATAAAGTAATAATATGCAATTATTATCTTACTTTTACTTTTCATATTACTAGTTCTTACATGATGTTATAATTGCTATTATTTAGATGGAAGAATGGATGGATGGATATTTGTCACATTGTTACAGAGCGGCTCAACGGAACTCAATTAAATTTGGCTTAAATGTCAAACATAACCTAGAAGAACGTATATGTAATAAAAGTTTTTGTTTTAAATTCCTCGCGGGTGCTACCTAGTGAATATATAAAATGAAAACCTTTACCTTTTGAACACTCACCAAAATAAACAACGTAAGGTATGAAAATAATCGAATCATTTTGCACTTGTGTCCTCTTTCAACAATGAGCTTTCAACTCGCGAGTTTGTCCTCGAATGGAGAGAGGGCCCTCGCTTGCACAACTATAAACAGAAAGATTACAATTTATAAATATAAAACATTTTTTATTAATAGGTAAAGTGTAAAATGTTCTGTTTGTTGCAGCAATGATAAGAAAATATATGGATGTACCAAGGCAGAGACTAAAGCAATATGTAACAAAAGGGGTGGTTAATACAAACTAACAAAGGAAGGATAAGGGAGGGGATGTGATGACAATATGAGACTATAATTTATATTTTTAATAAAAGAAAAAACCATAATTTTCTTAAGTAAAAGTCTTGTTGTAATTATAAAAATTATTAATTGCAACTTTCCTGTAAATTTTCTACACAATCGTCTTTTAATTTTTATTTTCATTTTTCTTGGAAACAATATAAAATGAGCAATTCCGCGTTGAATACTAGTTATTTTATAAATAACTCTATCAATGACGTGGAGATGTTCTTGAAATGTTGCTGTCTTGTGTCACGACCCGCTTGAACTTAATAATCGCTGTTTATTATTGGAATTGAAATTAATTTACACTCTTCAGATGTATAACAATGTTTATTATACGCTACGTTTCTTTCCTCGAGTTAATTTGTAGAGCACTAACTTTTGGAGTTTTATTCAATACTGTAATTTTTTCAAGGTGGTCTCAAACTTTTGGCCGGCAGTGTATATTTACTACGTAATTTTTATTAGACTTTAATTGTTATAAAATGGATAAGTAAAATTCTGTGTCGTAATAATAATAATTAACCGTGAAATTCTTCTGCCGTAATACTTGAATTTCATTGTTTTTATTTGTATTTTTATAGAGACGAATAAATTCTACAGTGGAAACCAACTTTAAGATTGAGATCCGAACACGTAGATGACGTGAAACTAAATGATTCCATTGTGAAACTTTAATAAAAAAGAAGTAACATTTTGCACGCGGAAATAGCACGCTTTCGCCTACCAAACTTTGAATACTCCCATCCAAACTGAGAGCGAACACTATGCACAATTGCATGGAAGTTTTAATGGGCGGATGCCCGAGGAATTGTTAATTAGCTAGAATTACTGTTAAATTTTCTAACAACTACCGATAAAACATTTTACAAACAATATGTTAAACGTAATAACTAGAGTTAGTTTTTGGTAAATATTTTTTGTGCTTTGATATTAATATGCAAATGTATGTATGCTTGTAATTACGCGTGTAAGTAAAAATATATATTGCTTAACACAGATTAGGATACACTTGTACTTTTGATTGCTTTTTTTAAAACCAGTCAATATGGTACACAACATTAGAGTATGAAAAAGTTTGGAGAAAAGTTTAAAAAAAAAGTGACTTCACCCAAGCAACTGCACTGAATGTAATATCGCGTCTTGGTATTGGCTAAATGTGATAGTATTCTACATTCCAAGCATATTATACTTTAATATGTAATATCCACGCATGAAAACTTATTCAACTCACGAAAATTTTCTCTTGATAACAACATAAAGGACATAATGACATAGCGAAATTATACCCTAAATATCTCAACATCGAGGTCGTAATCCGAGAACAATGTCTTTGATATATGATAGCACAAAATTCATTACATTATAATTTAATATAGACTGTGATACGTCATAACGCATTTCGACTCGACTGTCCACATCGATAGATTTAGTCTAGGACAAGATTATATTTATTTTGTGTTGACTGTACAATAAGGAAGGGGACATTGTGAAAATGATCGTTTACACTGACGTAACAAGTCTGCAATACACAAAGAAGTAAAGCAGACGTCTTCACTATCGATTAAGATACGGCGAAACATTCCAATTGTCTTCTTACAATTAAGATTCAATAGATCCGATTGTCACATGTTTTGTTCTGTCTAATGTCCCCTTTACTGTTTTTATGACTCAGTTATTTAACGAAGGACTTGAATGATAAAATACAGAACTATAATGAAGCGATTCCTATTCCAATACCGTTTTTATGTGCCATCAAAAAAACTGAAATAAGTCCATATGAGTTCGGGGATTCGAAGTGTTTTAATATACCGCTAGGAACTTATTCATTTTTATCATATAGAACTAGGATGCCTTTTCATAGACAATAGGGAGGAATTTAAATAAATACTTTAACGAACACGAATTTAATAAATAATAATATACTCATTTTAGTTATTAGTATTATATTTTTTTTTTTCGTGAAAACTTTGCTGTTATTTATCACTTGTTCTTATTGGTTTTATATTTGTGTACAAAAATCTCACAATTTTTGTTTAAATTATTAGGAACAAAGTGATTCCACTGAAACCGCAGCCTTAGTACTAATCATTTACATCCCTATAAACTAGCCCTGCGTAAGATGTGAAGTGATTACATATTGGCACGATACGATTCAGTTTATTTGTCGTAAAACCGACCGTAATCGAAGCTGTTTGAGCCAATATAGAAATAGCAAATGTATTTGACAAATGTTTGCGTATTTGATAAGAATTCTAAGCGCCTAGTGGTAATTTTTATATTTTCAACTCACGAAATTTGCTAATCGTATCTTATCATAAAAATAAAAATGTGTGTTATTGAATATTTTCGTTCTAAAATGCACACATTTAAATACCACGTAGAAAATTTGGAGCATCTTTTAGACGTGAAAAATAAAAAAAAAACTATATATATCACAAATCTACATGTGGTTTCTATTTATTGATTTTTTGTGGATCTCTTCGACCCGAAACCTTGATTAAACATTCGTGATTAAAAAAGTCTACAGTACAATACATAACCAATTTTAAAAAGATTACAAAATACTATTCCCAGATTTAAATATTCAAGAACCACATTAACATCCACCCAATTCAAACTTTTATATATCTGAATTCAATTTCAGATACATTTCGAACTTAAATTTAGTATTAGAAATAAATCGCAAAGGTTTTTCTCTCTAGAGAATTGCGGGCAGCGGTTAACAACACCTGGAGTATTTCGACGTTAGCTCTCCTAGCGAGAGAAATGCATTCTATTCGTCGATAAAAATAAATAATATATTTTACAATTCAACTATGTTTACAACCTTACAATGCAATATATTTAAACGTGGGTTGTTTAAGATATTAGTTTTAACTTATTAAGTTTTTCCTTTCGTTATTTGGACTGTTACTAACATCATAAATGCAAAAGTTTAGATGGATGGATGTTTGTTAGAACATTCTTAATTGTATTTCTATTTTAAAATAGTCTACTGGCAGCTTAGGAACACTTACTTTAAAAAAATACCACGTGTCACGCTACGATTGTCTACGAGTATCATGTCCTTTTCAGTTACGCGCTACGCACATCTACGATTTTATTGCCGTTTCGTAGCAATCAACTTTACAGCCAATAACTTATCTGCATACCGCTTTACACTGTGACGTCATCGATGGAGATTCGATGTGGTCATAGCTTGTAACGATAGCTTTACTTTGTTGATTACTAGTAGTAGTGAAAATTATAATAAAAATAACTAACTAAGATCTTATACATTTTATAAAACATATTAGCTAATACCAGAAAAAAAGGTAAGGGATTTATTAAGGCACGGCTACAATAGAATTCCATTACTAAAGGACTTCCATTCTTCCATTACTACATTTAGGACTCAGAAAAGTAATATTAAGTTTAATAAAAACGTGGGTTGTAATAATAATCATGTTGTTTAAATTTTATTTAACAAATCTAGGTCTTAACTTAGTTTTATTTGATCTAATATACCGCTAACAACTCTGTTAACCCTGTAAGTGGTCGGTAAAGTCTGTGACGACACCTCGGATCTTTATAGACAGAGCTTGATTGCACAATAAAATGATCAGACTAACGCTGTAGGCGACGGTTTTACTGAACCATTGTTAAAAAATGTTTTATACAACTATATATCATAGTTCAACTTACAGTAAGTTTTCATTGCTTGTATTCCATATCAAAATGTGGCATACGAGAAAACGAACTTCGGAATTTGCCGGAATTTTTCGGAAGTAGCAAAGCGACCGCTGTGCAAAGACATCAACAATTGCAGATGCATTGCCTATCTTAAAACGATGGACGACATCTAAAATCTACTTCCATTTTCCTTCAGTCTCTTTTAAGAAACTGTTTAAGTCAGAAGGACTAAAATTAGGTCTTCTGCATGCACTCTCATCAGACAAAATGTGGAATTACTCCAACTTGATGCCTATTGCAACAGGATACCAGGCCCATTTGTGGCGTGGCGTAAAGTGGAAGCAATTCCGCGTTTCGTCTGATGAGTGTGGTGCAGGAGGCTTAATTTTAGTCCCTTTCCCTTTCCACCTTTGTCTTAAGAAAGGATATGAAGGAAAAGTGGATTTAACGGTTGAGTGGACGGATTTGAAGGGGAAATGTCCTCTTTATGTGCTTGTTTTCCTCCGTCAATTAAGGGTAGGCATCTGCAATTGAGCGTCGGTGGCTCAGTAGAGCGTCGGTGGCTCAGTGGTTTAAGCACTTGACTTGTAATCTACAGGTCTTGGGTTCGAATCCCGCCGCCATGTACCAATGTGATTTTCGATTTTTCGAATTTTCATATGTACATAATTTACCCGACGTTCTTACGGTGAAGGAAAACATCGTGATGCAACCTGCACATATCCGCGAAGAAATTCAAAGATATGTGTGAAGTCAACCAACCCGCACTTGGCCAGCGTGGTTGACTATGGCCTAGTCACCCTAACATTAGGGTAGGCTCCGAGCCCCTCGGTGGGGACATATAGTGAGCTGGTGATGATGATGATGATGATCTGCAATTGCGCATGTTTATGGGCGCTTGCCATTTCAGTGGATTCAGGTGGTCGCTTGTTGTTTTAAAAAAAATGTGCAACATTTTGAAATAGTGTAATGTAAAGTAACATATGATCTTATTATACACCTGGTTGAGAATTTAGCTAAAGCGAACGTCTATGTATTTCCTTAAGTCCTCAATTTATCTACTAACAAAAGTATAATGTTGTAAATATCGTTCTTATATTTTAGTGTGAATTTCATCATATTATAAATGGTAGGACGTAAAGAGATGAGTATTAAGTTACTTTACTTTGTAAAAATTACAAAGGGCGCTTCGAGACGCTAAGAGTAATTACGGATCATTAAGTAATGTTAAGTCCCAGCGCTAATTGATTTGAAGTGAAAACATTAAACAATTTTAAACAGTAAAGAGAAGAGAAATGCTTTAGGAAATTTAAGATTTTTTTACATTTTCCCTTTACTATGGCTATTTTTTAAAGTTATAGACATTAAAAACAAAAATTAGAATTGAATAATATTAAGATGCAATCATGAAGAGGTATTTTTAGCTTTATAACAGTGGGGTTTCTCTATTGTTCGTAATAAGTAATAAGTAATATTAGACTAATCGTTACTTTGTTTTTTTTTATTAATGAAACGATCGATGATTTCTTTTTTAGTATATTGCTTAATAAATGTGATGAACATAATATCAAAAAAGCAGAATTTAAAAAGCTAGGCTAGCGCGATAAAAGTAATGATGGTGTGACTCTTTACCTTTTATGATGATGAACATTGTTCACAACCCTTATTGAGGACATATTCCAAGAAATAAGTATGGGATAAACAACTCTAAATATATCCTATTGTCTAACACAGAAGGGTATAATATTTTTTTCTTGCTAATCATATAAGTCATTCGATAATCCACAATAAAATTCAACCTATAATAATTACAATAAAATGAGCAATAACAGATTACAGCCATATAAAAGACAAAAAAACCGTAAAAATATCCTTATTTGAAGCAATTATTGCCAAATCTTGCTGAGCACACAACCGATGACCTCAATACGGTCATTTGATACGCCGTGTGTGATTGTGGCAACGTGGGCGCCACTCTCAGACGTCCCGTTCCAATCATATTTCCTTTTGTTTACTCCCAGTCTCCTCATAGTCGCCCGACGCCTTTTGTTCACAGAAAAATCTCTCACTAGGGCTGGCAAAATTTTAAATCGAAAATTAGTTATTATTTATTACTTGATTAACTAAAAAAAAAAAAAAAGTAAGCAGTCTATGTGTTCTTCCATATTCCTATACGTCTATGCCAAATTTCATTGACAACCGTTCAGTAGTCTAGGCTATAAAAACATCCATCCATTTTACTAAACTTTCGCATTCATAAATGCATAGAAAATGGCATAAAAGGGCGCTTGTGACCTATCATGATTTAGTTTCGTATATACCCACCGGGTCATATAACTTTTCTGTATATAGTGAACTATACAACACATTCTTACTGACCACAATTTATTCATATACAAGTTTTTTATTACAAAATGGTTGTAAATCATATAAAATGTTTGAACCGAAAAGAAAATAGCCAAATAAGTTACAAATCCTTTGACATTGTCAGAAATGAATACAAAATAATATTTAGTTTTAGAATTATTCATTAGAGCTACAGCTACTATTAGAGCTACTCTATGATTATTCTTCTATCGAAGGTATTTGACAATAGACTTATTTATCCATCAAATGTGAGCACCGTTGTCGCCAGCTATAGGGCTGGCACTCGCCGCAAATGAGTTATCGTCAACCGCAACTTTTCCCGTTCGAGATTGCCTGCTTACCTTTTAATTTTCAGCGACCATTTTTTGAACTAATTTAAAATCTGTGTAGTCCATTGATTTGGATCAATAGAGGTGCAACTATGTATAGAAGTGTGAGATACTGCTACTTTTGTGAGCCCGGAACCCGTTTAATTCGAAGAAGATCTCACAACTGATTTTTGCAAATCAATTTCGCAAAGCCATTATTCTTTGCAACTCATAAATTCCAAGATCGTCTAGAATTTTGAATTTCAAATCCTATTAATTACTAATTAATAATCTCGGTAAATAATAGCAATCTGCAAAAGTCATGAAGAAGGAACCATTTTTTTTATAAATAAAATATTTCTGAAATATCGAGAATAAAAAAAATCCATTAGTTCAAAATAATCTTAAGAGACATCAAAACATTTGAGTTTTATAAATAAAAAGAATCTTAAATAATTTTAATGGCAAATTTTATTCTATGAATATTTCTGTAAATAAATTTCATATGCACTCTTTATTATTACTGATACCATAATAATTATTAAAAATGATTACAATTTATTTAACAATCCCATCACACGTGTCAACAATTTGCCAATGTCGAAATCCATTGCTAATTTTGATTTCTTAAATTGAAATGCAAACTATGTTAGTAGCATTCCCTAGTTGGTTATGCTAGTTACACACGAAGGCAGCGCATTGCAGCAGAGCAGTAGACACTTCAGTAGTGCTACTAAACTCACACCGATGAAACAGTACAAGTATCATAAAATAAATCACATACAATAATTTGCTTGACTTTTTGATTACTTCGTCTAGAGGACTATCCCCCGGACAAATAGAAAATATTAAAACTGACAATAACTATCGATATGCAACGTGCTAGTTTCACGAATTTATTCTTATACAATTTTGCTATTTGAATAAAACTTTATACACGGGCTTTGTTCGTTTCAGTGAGCCATACTGTAACTGTATATTGCTCTACGTCACTGTGCTACCGTCGTGTGTTGTAAGCATTAGTGGTGGGCGGCGTAGGGCGGCGACCGGCAGGCTCTATATAAGCGAAGGCTTGGGCGGGCTACACAACACTTGTTGCGATCGCTCCTGTCAGCTTGTCGTCGAAGCCTTCCTAACTTCACACGTTTCAGGTAAGTCAGTATTACTCTTGATGAAAAATTGTAGGAAATTATTTAGTTCGAATCTATATCCGTTAGTAATTTAGGGTGATAAATTTATTCCGCGTGTTTTAGAAAAAATACTTGTTACTAAATGAAACTAAAATATATTTGACAAATATATATTTACCAAAATATACCACTCGTATATGAACCGTTTAAACTTATGCCTTGTAATTTTCATGGTCTATTTATAGTAAAAATGTAATGCGGTAAATTCAAGTATTGAATAAATAAAATATAAAATTTCGTAAAACTTCTATTTGGGTTTTATTCAACAATAAAATTTCCAGCTTTTTTATCCCAATGTAAAGCTTATTAAAAAGTTATCGGATACTGAATAACTTGAGATATTCTGAACACTTTAGAATATATCCATAAAATTTCAAAGAATAAAGAACGGATAGATTATTTTATTTACCATACTTCACTAAACAATAATTGTAAGGAAAATGGAACGAAAGTTTAAAATTAGTATTGTTTTTTTTTTCGGAACGTTTCATAGTACATCTTAATTTTACCTTTCAATTTAATAAAGCACATGTAACATCGATAACCTGTTCCTATTTTTAGTACTTCGCATAACTTTATCTAAGTTAATCACTTAATGGCGAAAGTCGCAAGCCGGATGCTGGCCTTTAGAATTTCATTGCTATTCAGTTCTACTTTCAATAACTTAATACCGATTAACGCTGAATCGTAAATAAGTTTTCGTTATAATCCGTTTTGCTAGCTTAAAGAGATATTACACTATTTATTGTATTTCATTATAAAGATATAGTTATTTGTAAATTGATTCAGAGATATATGTACAAATATAACATTAAAAAGAACATAGGGCGTGCTTTTAGTTGTTTTTTTTTTTATTTTTGTTAAAATTTTAATCATTAAATAGATTTACTATTGGCATGTAACGAGTTTACCTTACTAGTATCAGCACTTTAAAAATTTTTTTTTGCGTTACAAATACAAATATGCTTACATTTTTTCTAAAACATTGTCTCTTGAACGCGACCCTTTTGTACAAAAAAAAATAGTTATTATATTTTATGTCTCACAAGCTTCGGAACGTAACTTTGCCCTAATTTGGGTAAAGCTTGTTTAAGAAATAACGACTACGAAAGAATTTGTACAAATACAAAAACTTTTACTATCAATTTAAATAGATTAGAAAATAAACCAAACCTTTGTCTTTAGTTGTTTTTTAACTTACCCGCTTAATTTGTATTATTTTGTTGTAATTTTACTCCGAAGATATTACTTAAAGTAGAATTTATGCAGAAAATCGTTGAGATATAATGAATGTGATAATAATCGATAGACAGGCTGTGTGTCGCTGGCTGAGCGTGAATAGAATCATTCAGCCATGACTTATCACATATGCTCAATAAAATCAACAGTTGCATAAAACAAAATATTAATTCATGCTAGTTTAATCTTTAAAAAGTCCCTTAAAACATTTGGATTTTTAATTTATAAGCAACTAGCTTTCGCCCGCGACTCCATCCGCGTGGAATTAAAAAAAACAAAAGTGAGTAGTCGATGTGTTCTTCCAGACCATCCTCTACATCTATACCAAATTTCATTAAAATCCGTTCACCCGTTTAGGCTACAAACTCTAACAAACATCCATCTATCCATCTAAACTTTCGTATTTATAATATTAAGTATTGCTATGATTACATTACATTTGTGGATGAATTAAGAATTTCTCAGACTTGTGTAACATTTAAATTAATTATATAAATATTGCAAACGGTCCTCTCCAAACTGAAAACATTTACACTTCGTAAACCCTTAAGATAATCTAAATGTAAATGTACCAAATTAAATTAACATATTAACCAAACGGAAAAGGTCTGAGATGACCGTAAATTCGGTGATATATTATAAAATGTCGTTAAGGCAGTTACCATAAAATGAGGTCATTATAATGGGAATTTTCGGACGCTTCGTGACGTCATCGCACACGAAATTCAAGCACATATCTTTTACCCTTAATATGTCTATATTGTGCAATTATTCGTCGGTTAAGATTTATTACATTGGTACTTGTATAGACATTTTGATAAATTTTACCAGTATATAGCCTCTAACTTAACTTGTCTTTATAAAAACTAGAAATAAATAACTAATTGACGGTATAATGACTTAGTTATTTGAACACAAAAAACATCAACAGAATCATACAAAATCATGACTTAAATCAATAACTCTTTTGATATAATGCATATAATAATGTAATTTGAACATAATCAAAACATTGCTCTGATATTTTAGCTTCAATAATTTATTTAAAAAGGCCTACGTCTAATATATTTAAGGTAGCTGTCGTGTTCCGAGCCTTACAAATCGCCCCACCGTTAATCCCTCGAGTCTCGTTCACACTACGAATGACTATCCTAAGCTTGTGTAACGATTAACCGTTCCCAGGTAATTACTAAGGCGAGTAAATTGGACGCTAGTGTGATTCAACCCTTACTTTATTACTATCATTGCGTCGATGATGTGTTTAGTTTGAACATTTTTTAAGGATCTGTTCGTAAGAAAGAAAACTTAAGGCTAGAATTACGTATTTAGTTAACTTTTTTGAATCATACTAAAAAAAAATCATTTGAGGTTAAGTTCACGAGACTGTTAAAGCTTTTTAGATTAGATTTTTAACAAATAATTGAAATTATTTTTTTCCTTTATGTTATTTGCAAATGGTTTCAAATTATCAAAACCTTGTCTATAAATAACAATGTATTTAAATAATTAAGGACAACTTAACTCTTAATCAACTTTTACATGATTTAATCCGTCGTTTACAATCGTGTCAAAACATTTCGTTACGCCTTTAACTTTATTAATGAAACTTTCAAGTTTCTTAATAAATCTAAAGACGTTGTAATTATTGTTTGTCAGAATTTATTAAATGCTTTCAGTTTAAGGTACATTTGCTGTTGATTAATGAACCAGAGGCAAATTCGGACATCTGTCATTGAATTGTTAAAGTCTCAGGTGGTGTCAACTTAAGAACGAGAATCATAACTTAGAACTTAAGAACTGATTTAAAAAATATAACAATAGAAAGCCATTTTAACCTTGTAAATTTTGTTTTCTAACATAGGAAAGTTGGAAATATTCCTATTTTTTTTTAAGTTTGAAATTTTAGAAGTAATTGAAAATAAATATTTACTCTGGTATGTTCAGTTCCTTACAGAAGTATTGCTAAACGGAGTTTACGTATGAACGGTAGATCAATTCAAAACGTCTTTCAAAGGCGATGTCATCGAAATTGGTTTTGATCGGTGTTGAAAGGCAAAAACGGATTTGTGACCGAGTTCCGAAATCCTGTTCTGTGATCTATTGAAGACGATACGTATTGGTTTCTATTATAAGTATACATATATGTGCATGATTCAATTGTTGTTTGAACTACTCAACCAAATGTAGACAACCATATTAGATACATCCCTATTTTTAATTTAAGTTTCGTGTTTATGAAATGTTGAATTATATTTATACAAAATCAAAATAAACAAGATGAAATGAAAAGTGTTAAATTCACGAATAGATTTTAAATGTAAATAAAACATCACGTCAATTTAAATCGGTACATATATTTATTTTAAAATGAATGCCGTAACTCGATTAACAAACGGTGCTCAAAATTTTCATGCGTGAAATTGACGCGGCCCGTCCCTTGATGAATGCAGCTGCGTCAATCTGATGCTCTCACAAAAGATTCTATTAAATGCGTCTATTTACAGTTCATTATATGACATTATCAACGTATATCGTGAGTTCGATATCCAACAAGCCAGTGGAGTCTAAATAGTTCATGTTTCGTAACGTGGAGTATCAATCCACCATTTTGATAAATGTTTGAACACATAATCTAAATGCATTTTATCTAAATTACTTTTTTAAATAACCCATTTTAACTGTAATCATTAAGAGTGTAATCGATCCATTTATTCATTACATGTTAAAGTAATTTTATAGGGTAGATAATTAAATGTTCTATAGTTAATCTGACGCTAGTTTTTAGTTAGTACTCGTATAAGTATGTAAAGTGATTTAAAATATGGAACTTCCACTACGTGTAATTGTATAATTTGCTAAAGAATAAACTTAACAATTTTCTTACTAAATCGGTAAGAAAGATTTCTTTGTTTATCGAAAACATTTCATAACAATATTTATTGAATTATTCATACGCTCCGAGTTCAATGGACGCATCAATTTAAAGAGATTCATAATTTGTTTACGTTATTTCATAAACAACTTGTCTTGTTATTTACCAAAGCAATTTATTTATTCTTTATTAATCTTTACTTAACAAATAATCACACTTAAGTTAATAAATACAAAGTATTATGTATTGATATTGAACTTTCAAGGCAAACATTTTCTCAATATTTTGGAAGAGCAAAATACAACGTAACCCTTCCAACACATATAACAGAATGGAATATACAAATCATTCGTATCTTTTGCGTTTTCTAAACGAAATTCTTTTACATTTGGCCTTTTCGGTTGAACGAGTGAGATATTTCTTGTATCAATCGCTTAAAGTAAAAGCCACAGTATGTTATTACGGTCTACAATTGCTGTACTTTAATTTTATCTGTTTTGCGAAATGTTAATGAATACTTTTATACAAATTGATTAAAGGTAGTTTTTTTTTTTTTTTATAACACAAGGTGGCAAACGAGCAAGCGGCCACCTGAATCCGCCAAAATGGCGAAGCGACCGCTGCCCATAGACATCCGCAGTTGCAGATGCGTTGCCTACCCTTATCCGACAGAGGAGGAGACGCACATAAAGAGGATATCTCCCTTTCCTATGTATCTCCTCCTCCGTCAAATCCACTTCCTCTTCCCATCCTCTCCTTATAAGAAAAGGGTGGTAAAGAGAAAGGGACTTAAATTAGGCCTCCGGCACCACACTCATCAGACGAAACACGGAACTGCTTCCATTTCACG